AGGAATATGAGTATATATGAAGATGCATGTAAACAGATAGAATGAAGTCCCTATGTCTATGCACATTTACTATATGGTCTTTTGACCATGACCAAATAAATGTTAGATAGGTAGAATTCATAAAGATGTCTCTTTATACGAAGTTAAGTTGTAATATGATATTTAGTATTGGAATGATTGACAGACACAAGTCCTAAAGTAAACACAAGTTCTCAATTAATTCAGCCAGAAAAGCCGGGATCCTATTAAAAATATAAGGATCCCGGGAATTAACCAGTCTTAGATGCTTTTCAGATAAGCCAGGATCCTATTAAAACATATAGGAATCCCGGGAATTGACCAGTTCAAGAATATAGTTTTCAGAAAAGCCGGGATCGTATTAAAGTATAAAGAGATCCAAGGAATTGGCCAGTTCAAGAATATAGTTTTCAGAAAAGCTGGGATCGCATTAAAACATAAAGGGATCCCGGGATTTGACCAATTCAAGGATGCAGTCTTTGATTTTTCCAATTAATTAGGCATATAATTATAAGTATTGTGATTTTTAAGTTTGTTGATAAATAGCTCTAAATATATTTATATCCAAAGTTTAATTAATTTAACGTTCATTACATACAATAAAAAAACTTAACGTTTAATGGCCTTTCATTACGACAATAATCAACACAAATATAGTTTATAAGTTTTTCCTCTATATCTTATACGATCCCGGATCCCGGCCAGTCCGGGCGTCCCGGATCCCGGCCAGTAAATATATACACTAAATACCGGAAAGGATAAAATGACCGGAAAAAAGGAAAAAGAAAAAATGCACAGAACCAGGTGTTCACTTATGTTAATTAACCAAACGAAAACTTACTACAGAGGAACAGGTGAAATCGCTAAATCAAAAGTCAGTGTTAATATGATTTATTGAAAAGAATTCATGAAAACAAACATTTTTAATCATCATAATATCTTTGCGCTCAAAACAATACTTGCTGCTTTTTAAATATGGCGTGAAAATTGAAGGTTTTTTGACGCTATGTAAGATTAAATTTGATTGGCTAAATAATTTTGGATCCTAGCCCTGATAGATAAATTTTTATAGAAAGCTGGAAGCCAAGCTTCGATTAAATTTTTGGATGTATTCGGAGTTTTAGGTTGTTTCTCAGTAAAATCCTAACGTAATACCGGCTCGCCGTGGCGAGCCGGCAAAAAAATGCATCGAAAGTGCATTAATGCTGCCTATTAGACGGTATTGAGCAAGTGTGCCAATATCTAATATCAACCGACTTCCTACTAAGCCAAAAATCCATATAAAGGTAACTTTTGGTCATTTTGCACCTACAATCTAGCAACGGCAGACAATCTGCACGTGAAATTGGTTACGTCATTAGCAATGAGTTACCGAATGACTGCCGAGCGGTTACAGCTAAAAAAACGAATAATAGATTTTGATAACATTATGATAAAGGGCAGCAGATGCAATAAAAAGGTTATGTTCCTCATAACCTTTTACCTTATAAAGGCGTGTTTAGAAGGCTTTACATCCAACCCCTTTTGAAGCCTCAAAAAATGTAAAACATGCGCTATTTAGGCCACGCTAATTGAGAAATGTTGTTCAAAAGAGTGAATACTTTTTTCGGCGCCACCCCCATTAAAAAGGGGGTGCCACAGGAGCCGAGAAGATTTGGGACTTGTGGGGGGCTAAAATGGCATCCGGTCGATTTAAAGGTACCGTGTAATCAACGCCGAAAACCTTGGACTTTATCTCAATCAATTGAGAAGTTGCTGTACCTTGAAATCAGTTTTGATGGGAATAAACAACGCAAAATAGAGATTTTTGGCAATTTTGAGACGTCCCCCGTTGCCATGGTAACTGGAAATTTAAAATTGAGCATGCTATTCCACATTTGCGCCCAGTTTGATCAGTATTAATGCATTTTTTATAGTTTCATAGCAGTTGAACTTATAACAAGAGGCTCAATTCAATAAAAACAGCCATTTTTCGCAATTTTATGCTCATGCAATAATTAAAAGGTTAAGACAATAACAGCATGCTTGGACGGCATTAGCCCTCGGGCCAATATTTTACTAAGAGTGTCGATATGTTTCTTGAGGAAAACTTGCCCTGTAAAAAAATATTATTAATTTCATCTAAATATGTTTTTTATTCTTCTCCTTTTCAGACATGGGTCTCCTTGATCACATGTATTTAAAGATTTTTATCGTCAATTTTGATGGTTCTACCCTGCTCCCGACCCTGATTCCGACCCTGCACACACATAGTGTGATTTTCAATCATATGGAAAATTAAATCTCTGTATTTGCCCGTAGGAAAAGAACAGTAATAACACTGAAAATGCATTGTTGAATCTGAAATATTTGAATAAATATCATATAAACAGTACATTATCAGCAAAATGACACGAAATCGAAAAACAGACGTAAAAATTAGACAAAAATATCGATTTTCCATACTAATGTGCTCATTCTGTTTTGCAATACACTGTACACTAAAGTTGGGCTATTTTGCAATACTCTGTACACTCAAAATCAATACTCAGTACACTTTCTTGTATCTTTTTTGGCCTGTACCCGGTATCTTTCTTTACTTTCACACTTTTTGCCTGAAAGGACAAGGCATACTTGTGAATTCTCCTACACAACTGTCCTCAATTTGTTTTAAAGATAATAAAATAGAAATTGATATGGAGTGTAATATAAATTGAAATTCTTTTTTGCTTCATTATGTATAGTATAATTATAATTCATTAAGATGTACCTACAATTACATTGTATTTTCGTATGTGGGAAATCATGGCAGGGTTATAAAATAAAAAGGCAGTTCAGAAATATCACCTTATGATCACAGATGTTAAAAAATCCAACTTTATAATATCTAATTTGACAATTTAAACGGACTTAAATGCATTATGATCTGACGTCTGACATCAAAAACTATTTAATTTCTAAGTAAGGTTATCAGAATTTCCTTTTCACATTTTATTTTTAATGCTGAAATATTCGTGTGTGAATAAAAGAGTTATTCCTGCAATAATTCATATAAATAACATAAACAAATTGTATAATAAAGCTTGACAAATACAATCGATTGCCGCCGATACCTGTGTTACACCATGGAAATTTTACAATTTTACCATGACACCGTTTGCGTCATCCTTCAATATTTCCAATATGGCCGCTTTCAATAATTTTCAACGATTTAAAAAATTAAAGTGGAATATTTAGACTTCTGTTCGACTTTGAAGTATGATAATTTGGAATCTTGCATAAAAAAACGGTTCTCTTTCAGGTAATGTATACAGTTTCTTTGAAACTTTTCTAGTTTTCGCTCCCAACAACTTCTAATTGGGAAGCGTCCGTGCATAAAAATGCAGTTTGTGGTTGGACTTGGAAAAAGACAGCGCCGGTCCAAAATTATCTCGGTGTCTCTTTGACAAGTCTAATTAGTTCAGTATTTTCTAGTGAGCAGCGGATCGTTTAGGGATAGTTTAATCAATTTTACAAATACCTGTTATACTTTTACGTCTTTTAGAGCTACAAAAATACGTCTAGATACATAAAACCCGTTGAGATAAATGAAATAGCCATTAGTTTTGAAAATATCGTCGCTGAACTTACCTTCGTTCCCCGTTCAAAGTCGCGTAATGGGATGAAAATCTCATACAGTTATATCGAGCAATATCCGCGGTACGGTATACCGCAGTGAGTGTTATATCCTCGTAACTTACTCGTTTCATGTACTATAACTATTACGTATTAATATGGACTGTTCCTTACTATAAATAAACATGAAGAAAGTTCTGTTTATCGTGCTCGGATTAGGTCTCAACCCGGTACGGAATTAGACCGAACCCATTGTAGTCTAGAAAGTAGTTCTTTAAAATTTTGAAATGGCCCAGTTTAAGTCATCTCTATTTAGATTGGTCATAATTAAAGTGTATTTATTTCATGTGTATAGTTTTTGTGTGTTATATGATGACTTTAAAAGTTATTTTTTGTGTATTCTCCAGGAACTCATTTGTTGGTGGAAGGATTAAAGATGTACTACCCACCAGCTGTCAGGAGTTTTTAAAGAGGTGAATTTAAACAGTGTTACAACAGAATGAAGATTTCTGAAAAAAGTAGATGGCTAACCTATTATATATATTTTGGGCCTCATTGGACTTAGATAGTGTTAATGTTTAAAGTTGAAGACAGTATATAATTCATCAAGAACATAGGAATCCAGAATTAAGCCTCAAATTTGACTGATTTACTATAGAACAAATAGTACGAAAATTCACCGGTCCGAGTCCATTATGGTCAGGGTATCGCATTGTAACATGGCCAGCGATTGGCTGAAAAAAAAAGTGTAGGGAAAACCGTATGATTCAATTTATACAAGAGGTGATTGGATGAAAGTGGGGTATTTTTAAGTATAAAAACTAATTTAAAAAGTAACACTACATTGTTTTCTGAAGAAAATGAAATATTTCATGAGTCTCTGTGATAATTTTGACTTGGATATTTGCATTGATAAAAAGTGTATGTCAGTCCTGTGATCAGCAGAAATTTCAATAAAATGGGGGGAGGGGTAATCCTCTTTGAAGTCATTTTGCAAAAAATTTGGTTGGCTACCCCTATATAACAGGAACATTTTTATGTGTCAGGCATTTCATTCTACTAGAAAAATTTCCTCTTTAGCATGAAAACTCAATTTTAAGGTAGGATTAGGGACCATTTCTTATAATGTAAGTCTATGGAAATATCAATGTAAGTGTCTGACCTTATAGTATCACAAAAAAGACAAAATATGTTTTTTTAGCCGATTATCACATTTTTCGTATGAATAAGACGTTTTAAAGTTCATTCCGTAAGGTGAAAAGGCGAGATTTTAGCATTTAATCATTCAAGCGTCTTGTCCGGTATGTACCGAAATACGATATTTAGTGTGGTGTTCCAATCGCACTCCATTCATTACGTTACTTTTGGTTTCCCAATTTTTCTATTTATATATATCCGCCACGTCTCTACGGAAATCGCGAAATTTGGAACGATCGATTTTTAGAAGCGTACATGTAAAGATTTCCCATCATGATTTCTGCAAGCGTCTAGAGGTACTACCAATGAAATCAATCGCAACTACTCGGCCATTTCCGTCAGTCTTCGGATAAGATAATAGATATATATAATAGCCGAGGCAGTTCCGAATGCCAATGAAATGTATACAGGGATTTTTGCCGTATTAGACACTTATGGTGAATTTAGGTAAGTTAATTTGTCAGATTTCGTTAGTGAGATTAACATGATGAAATAAATAGATATTTAAATGAAATATAGGTCAACAGTTTTGAATATTTTGATGATGATCTCATAGCCTACTGAGAGAATGTTCTGAATAAGGAAGTTTATATCACTGATTAACTGATGATCTAACACACGTATTGTATTTAAGTTGTGATTGAAATTACTGATATTTAAACATTTGATTTGCAAAAATCGATTTTGGGCAGATATCTATAAATAGATGTAAATACGTAGTAGGCTTTTAGACAATAATGCGCATTATTATTCGGATCATATGTTGTAACTTAGTCCTATACATGTGAAAACAGGTTGAGATAAATATAGATACTGGGAAAATATAAAATTTTACGGCTTATTGAAAATATTCTGTTGTCTATTTAAAGATATTTTCATAGTCAAGTTGAGCTGAACTTACTATATATTTCAAAATAGTGACTGTTAAAATGGTGATTGACCAACAGTTCTTATTAGAAAATGTTTAGGGTAAAATTTAAATCTGCCTGAAATATAAAAAGACTGCCCCACTCTTTTTATGAAATGAACGTTTTAGGTAGGCAAAATGAAAACTTATTTTGACATTCACTTCTGCACTCATTTATACCCTTGGATAGGCATAATGTCACAACGGTCGGTGTTTATGCTAAAATTGATCGATGTAAGACCATTGTTCAAAACAGAACGTTTCGGACTGACTGATCGGTACAGGCACTCAGTAATCACAGTGCGTAATCGTTTCAGGCTGAAAAGCGAAAAAAGTGGGAGCCCAAATCACGTTGAATATGTTAAGCTGCCTTTCCTGCATTTATGTAGTTGACGAATATGATGATTAAGTAGAGTATTTAGAAAAATGAAAATATGTTCCAAATGGAAAACACTGTTTTCTTAACAAGTGATTGAAAATATTTGAAATATAATTTCTAAAACTCATCAAACCATAATATATATACTGTTTTCTTCCTGATCAACTCCACAGAGTCTAATGTGGGTCAATATCTTTTAAATACTTTAACAAATTTCGTTTTGACTATCAAATAGGTCAAATATATTTTTAGCTCTTCAAAATTTCATTCTGACACGTGAAAAAAAAACTCTAGGGTCGGCGACTTTTAGTGGTAGAGCTGAAACACAGTTATTTTTGTTTTTGCCCAGTGAAAGAAAATTGTTCAATGATATAAAATACCAATTTGAATACAAGTGTAGAAAAAGAGACGATACTGTGACATAATTTTTAAAATATTTGTAATTTATTTAAATATTTGAATATTATCTTTAATGTATGGGACGTAAATCAACTTGAATTATAGAATAAATTCATGAAGAGTTAATTTGCTTTTCAACCTTGTCACTTTTCGTTTTTCGGACAAGGAAATGATACCTTTGCGAATTCTTATATTTATCACATTATCTGTACTGCTTCTAATTTTGTTAGAATCAAATGTATACATGTATCATTGTAAGGTTGATAGGAGGATGATCTTCGACCCCTTTCATGCCAATGACGGGGCTGGGCGCCTGAAACGGGAAAAAAAGGAATTTATATACAACTTTATAAGGTTTTAAGATATTTTTCAAACAGTATCATATCACACTACAGACATGCAAGCATCAGAAAGGGAGGGAGGGGGGTAGCAGTATGGAAAGTACATCGCAAGAAATTGCGAGGGTTGATAGGAATAGGTAAGAGGAGGGGTAAATGTTTTCTAATACACGTTTAATGTACTTGAAAAAAAAAAGAAAAAAAAAACAAAAATTTTGACTACAGCAATTCATTTGATTATTTCATTGAAGCTGCATGCCTCCAGATGAGCATAAATATTTCAAGAAAATTAAAAGTTAGAAAAATGTACTAAGATTTAAAGAAAAGTAAAAATATTTAAGATTCAAGAAATAGTTTACATATTACGAGCGATTAAGCGCTTATTTTGTAGTATTAATCACAATATTTCTACTGCGTTACTAACGCAGTAAGAGCTATTTTATACTATTTTGACCTCTTTGTGGTAATTTTCGTGATTGCAAGTGCTGTTTACAATGTGTAAATTATTTTCTTTGTTAAATTCAATATGTGTTGCTTTTGAATAATCTTTTTAAAAATTCATGAAAAATAGCATGAATCAGGAGGCATGCTGCTTTATTTCAAAAGAACTATTAAATTTATTATATTATTTTTAGGCAATAGAATACAGATCAAAGGAGTGTTTGTAATTCCGCTCCATTAGTGCATTAAAGAAATAACATTAAAACTGGCAGTCATTGAGGTAGATGGGAACCAAACAGTAGAGCAACACACGAATTATTTTGGAAGAAGAACACGACAAGGTATCGCCCAGCATGAATAATAATCAAAGAAGACCTTCAACACAGCGGTTCAAGAAGAAACATCGCTCAAAATGTATAAACCTTGGTATAACGTTTTTCAAACCTAAACACAGACAATATTGTACTCTGGACTCACGTATAAAATCATATGAAAATGAAAATTGGATTAAAGATAACACACCGGGGATAAAAGAACTAGCAGAGGCCGGACTTACATATAGAGGTGTTGCAGACTCTGTGAGTTGTTACTACTGTAATATCGGCCTACAAAACTGGGCGAAAGACGCCTGTCCTTGGGAACAGCATGTACTAGCCAGTCCTGATTGTGCCCACGTAGCTCAGTGCAAAGGTAAAGCTTATATTAGAAAAATTCTAGGGGAAAACGATCAAGATTCGAATGTTGAAGTGGACGATTCAAAGGAATTTGTTGATACTGTGGAAGAAGCTTTTAAGAGAAATGAAGCAGCTGTGACTGCAGCAAAGCAGTATTATACTAACAAACAAATCATTAATAAAGCTGTCAAATCGTTAATAAAAGGTTACCGTCAAAGATCCTTCACTGCTGTTGAACTCATAGCTGCTATTGAAGAAGTTGAAAAAGAGCAGTTAGGAAATAACTCACAAGCAAAATCTGAAGATGTAGAAACTGACGGTAGTACGTCTGAGACAGATGAAGAAGATGAAGAAGAACTAAACAGACAATTGAAGGAGCCAATTACTTGCAAAATTTGTTTTAACGCTATTGCTTGTATAGTTACATTACCATGTGGCCACATGTTTAGCTGTCCCCAGTGTTTACCAGCACTTACTAAATGTGCAGTATGTCGGTCCGATATAAATGGAACTGTTCGAGCCAAGATGGCCGTTTAAATACATGTTTTTGTCTGAGCTTTTATGCTCCCCAAACAAAAGGGGAGCTTATATTCGCCCCTTTGTCCGTCCGTATCCCGTATTTCTGTTGTTCTTTCCCACGATTTAGTTAAGCATCTTCATTCATTGACCGATACCTTCCATATTTGGTTGCTAGGTAGATGGTTCTGTGTCACTGATGTCAAGGTCATTGGTCATTAAATAGATATATCCCAGCAGGCACATCAACGTTGTTTCAACGTTGAATTATGGTCAGATTTCAACGTTGAAATAAGGTTGGATTAATATTCGGATTTGAAAGTTTAAACAACGTTGAAATTTCAACGTTGATACAACGTTGCAACTTCAACGTTGGCGCAACGTTGAAGTTTCAATGTCATTTCAACGTTGAAAACCCACCATATTTTAATTTTGGATATAAAGCAAAGTAACCAAGTTTAACAAAATATCAAGACAATATTAAATACTTCAGATATTTTATTTCAAAAATACAGTTCAAGTGCAGCTTAAATTCACTTTAATAGCTACAATTTGTTCCAATCTTTTCTTTTAGACATTTCTGGGTATGTCAAGTGTTTGAGTACTTCTTTGGCTGTCTCTTACTGCTTCTGCAAATAAAAATAAGAAGTTTGTAGTTAAAAGTGGCTTGCTTAATCTCAAATTATACATATAATTACTCAACTTAGTGATTTGTTTTTATCTTAAATACTTATCTCTTAGATTTACATCATAAAACAGCATAGAAATTGAAACATAGCTAAGTTTGATATTGACAGCAAATACTGTACATAAGACAACAAAATCTTTTTAAAAAAAGAAGCTATTTCAAAGTCTCACCTATGATTGGTAAGAAAAACTGCTCCCCGTCAGTTACTTGCAGCATATTCCCAAGAAATTATCATTCTAGGCTCTAGCTAAGATCATTTTATGCAGCATCCTGAAATCAACAAACTTTTGTATTTTGTATTAATAATGTTACAGGAATATTCTGAAAATAATATATTTAAAGACAAGTTAAATATCCAGTAGTTGAAAAACTTATACTATGTATTGTAAAGATATTCAAATATATAAATTAATAAGAATTAATTTCAATTTAACAAACCTGACAGTCCTTTTCATGTTGAATATATGGTATACAGAATACATCTGCAAAACTCTTAATTTCAGCCAGGACCAGGATCTAGAATATAAAATAATATATAATGAAATAGAAATAGATTTATTATTCCCTATTAATTTACGACTATTAAACTTTAAAGTTTAACACTCAACTTTGTTTTTTAACTTCATAATAAATTATTTTTTTCAAAGTAATTAACACTGTATTATACTATCACTAAATATAAACATAGCTATATTGACGAATCGTCTTGGGACGTAAATTATGTGGGCCGAACTACTTTATAGGTTTCATTTTTTATAATTGATGAAATTTTGATTAGGATATAGTACAGAAAAATGTTAAATAATATGAAAAATAAATTAAAGAAAGACAAGATTTGTAAAATCATAAATTGTCAAGGACATCAATAAATTAGTGTTTACAAGGCCTGAACCCAATCATTCAATTAGGTCGCGAAAACGTGTCAAATCAACTCAATCATGTGTTTTCATCTCTCATTTATTTCATAAAGTAAATTAAAGTAGAATTTTAAGAATAAATAATAATATTTTAGAAAATAATCAGTAAACTAAAGTAAAACATTACGGTAATACCTCCGAAATCCAAATAAATTGCCGAATCGTGTTGTTTTCCGATGTGTTCAAATTTCGAAACAGCGCCACCATTAGCACGAACGATAATCATAGACACAAATCATAGACCGCAACAATTACTTCCCTTGACCAGCGTTATTTTATAAACGGGGTTTTGACTAATATCAATTAACTAATTAATATTATTCATAAAGAACTAAAAAATAAAACAACAAACAACAAAACATATTACCACGGATTTATATAAATCCGTGATATAACTTAATATTTAAAGAGGTAATAGAAAGTGAAAAATTATTTCCAACTTTATTTGTTTAAACGCTAATTTTGAATATCATAATAAACCATAAACAACGTTGAATCAACGTTGAATATACAGTGGCAATATATCCGTATGGTCGCCCATAGTTGAATATTTGTTGAACAACGTCCGACCATATTTCAACGTTGTTTCAACGTTGAAACAACGTTGAGTGCCTGCTGAGAATGTTTACACTTTTGCTCTGACATACATCATTCATTAACCGATGTTTTTCATATTTTGTAAGTACATACCTTTTGTGGTCCTCTAACTTTGCTTGTAATTAGGGGTCACGTAGGTCAAGGTCACCGGTACTAGAAATATATTTATACACTTTTGCTCAATCATTAACCAATGTCTTTCATATTTGGTATGATATACATGTACCTTTGGATAGTCCTGTTACTTGGTTGGAACCATCAAGATCATTATCAATGATGCTTGGAATATTTTGCATTGTACATAGTATATAAACGAAAGTGCAATTTTGGGGAGCATCTATCGCCTCTAGCGATATGTCTTGTTGTTTAATATGTTGTAAGCTATAATATTGGTTTTCAGATTTGCAGCAATATTCCGTATATCATTTAAAATCATATTATTTTCCTCATCAGTTAAAGACTTGTGTTTAGTTAATATCCCTGTTTCAAATGTATCTTAAGTAATGTATGTACACAATGTATTATACTTCCGATTATTTGTGCAATGTATCCAATAAGGAAGAAAAACGTTGGGTTGTAATAAAGAAAACATATAAAAAAATAAAGGCATAATGTTTTATTAATTTTCTTTTCACTATTCTATGATAGCGCACAATAGTTATGTGGTTTTCCTTGTACACCGGGGATGTTGTGAAGATTGCTGATATATCAAATCTGTGTTTATTTTGCACAAACTAGTTAGTAAAATACTTTGATAAACTGGCATTGTTTGAATTTATCTCCATTCGTGTTGATCAAGACGTGTGTGTGCTGAGATACGGTTGTGAAACTTATATTTCAAGACTAAAGACTATAGCCTATAAGGAAATAGTGATCTATGCAGCTATCCACATTATATCATAGGCCATAGTGGACTCGGTATATGGCTGCAAAAAGTATAGGTCAAAGTGAACTATATATGTTCAGCTGCAAAGCATATTGAAGATCAAAAAGATGTCTATATACAACTGCACTGTATATAAGAGACCAAAGTAAACTGGATCAAAGTGCTTCACAGTGTACATGTATATAGGATTTTTAGCTATGCAGAATCATGATAAATGCATCATTATACGCCCGAAAACAATTCGTCCGTCTGTTAGCAGTTTTTGTGTCCGATCTGTATCTTAATAAATCGGTTTGAAGAAAATTGAAACTAATTGGCAGAAATGTTTAACATATTGAGACGATGTGCAGAGCTCAGATTTGACCTTCATCAGGTCAAGGTCATTTTGTATCAATTTCAAAATTTTGTGTCTGCATTGTATCTTTTGAACCAATGGAAAGAATTTTAAAAAATGCAGAAATATTAATTATAATGAAACGATGTGCATAACACATGTTCGGGCTTCCTAAGATCAAAATTGTCGGGGATTAGTTGATTTATGTAGGAAAACACATTATAATTTCATAAAATTATAATGAAAGTACAATGTCTAGAGCTATGATATTTATCATGTAACATTGACCTTTACAAAGCTGATATGAATCATGCTCCTTGGTTCACTATTGACCCTGCCACAGGGGTCACTTGATTTATATAGGAAAAACACATCTGACACGTGTGAAACGTCGATGCACAGAGCTTAGATATTTGGCATATAACATCACTTTGTGGACCGCAAAAGTATTGCTATTAATCATGCCCCTTGGGTTAGATATTTGGCCCGCTCCGGGGGACACTTGGTTAATATAATTTTGTATAGGAAAACACGTTTCAGTCTAATTTTGCCGAAACTACAATGACTATACTTAAGATTTTTGACATGTAGTATTTCCTTTTTGGTCTCTACAAAACTGGTATTACTCAAGCCCCTTTGGCCAATATATGCTTTGCCTCTGGGGTCACTAAGTTGTTATAGTCTTGTATGAGAAAACACATTTCAGTTTAATTTTGTAAAAATACAATACTCAGAGCTTAGATATTTGGCATGTAGCATCAATTTTTTACGTTTTAAAATCATATATACTACGTTTTAAGTTATTATTCATGTCCCTCATGTCATCAAGACTGGCTCTGATCCAGGAATCACTAGCTTTATGTAGACTAATGTATAGGAAGGCACATCTTATCTTTCATGGATAAATACAATAACTCTATACTTGGCATAAAGCAATGCCTAGTAAACTTCTATTAAAATTTAATGAATAATGCACCTACAGTCTTCCCCTGATCTTGGATGTCATGTCAAATAGTATTTTAAACAAAATTAAGTTGGAACATTTTCAGACAAGTTTCTTGATTTGGTGTCTACCATAATTGAAAGATTATTTTTGTTTACTCCTATAAATTGATTAAATTTACATTCGTGCGTATATTGCCCCGCTTTTGCGGTGCTCTTGTTTTTCTATTGCAACGAGACCATTGCCCCTTTACGGACAGAATCAAAAGAAAAAAATCTTTGTTCAGAGCATGATATTTTGATAAAAACCAATTTTTTTTGCTTACAAAAAAAAGTAAAAGAGGAGAAGATGCTTTCAAAGTGTTGTCATAAAGGCTACCGTAAAAAGAAAAAGATGGGAACTATTGGTATATTCACTTTTTCATTTGAAGCATAAAATCATTAAGATATTTGTTTCAGAATTATCGATATTAATTTTAAAAACAAAACTTTTAAAAAGTCAATTACATGTACATGTATATACTTTATTATCAGCCCAATGAGACAATAGCATACCAAGACATGTGCCCACTAGGACAATATCCAACGAGACAATTTTAGCCTTCTAGGACAAAAGCTCAAGGAGACATAATCCTACTAAGACATTAGCTCACTAGGACAATAACTGACTTGGACAAAAACCCTATCAGATAATAGTTGCAATGAAGTCTTGTTGAAATGAATCCAGCAGTTGCAAAGGAATAGCAATATTGCTCTATATGCATTCTGCACAACTTATCAAAGGCCATTACTCTGTGTTGAAGGGTCTGACCGGAACAAGGCAATGATAAGCGCATTGATTGTTCCAAAGTAGTTTGATTGAATTCCAACCAGTAGTTGCAGAGAATTAGGGAGGAAACGATTATTGCTCTATATGCATACTGCATAACAACTAACCAAGTGCCATAACTCTGCACTAAAGGGTCTGACAGAAACAAGATGACTATATGCGCATCTCCTAGCTATTGGTATTGATTGTTCCCACAAAGTTTTATTGAAATCCAGCCAGCAGTTGCAGAGAAATAGCACGGAAACGATTATTGTTCTATATGCATACTGTACAACTAACTAATCAAGTGCTATAATTCTGTCTTGAAGAGTCTGACCGGAACAAGGTGATGATATGCGTATCTCCTCTTGGTATTGATGGTTCCATAAAGTTTTGTGGAAATCCAGCCAGTAGTTGCAGAGAAATAGCGCGGAAACGAAATTCGGACGGACGGAAGGCCTCCCGATTTCATCGGCGGTGATAAAAACTCAATGAGACCATAACCTACCAAGACATTATCCCACTAAGACAAAACTCAAATGAGAAAATAGCCTAGCAAGACATCAGCCCAATAGAACAAGAGAGCCTACCAATACATTAGCCGGCTTGGACAATTTAATATAGTCAGGGTTAGAATATTTTAATACAAATTAATTACAATCGCAAACAAAATTGATTAATTATAACAAAATATAAAAGTGTGTTATATAACACTTGTTTTATTTGAAAGTACCATAAAATTAAGACGAGTTTTGATTAAACAGAAACATTTGTGTTAAATTATAAAATATGTTGAGGTTGTCCTTTTATTCTGAGTAAAACTTGTGTGCAAAAACACATTTTATTTCAGTTTTTTTTCCAGTTTTTCAGTTTTCAGGGTTGATAAGGCTAGCGTTTACAAAAGCTTGCAGCGGGTCGCTTTTTATTGGCTGTGGTCATAACATAAGAATTTCCGCCTAATTTAACACTCAAAACAGAGAACAACTGTAAAATATTTAAATGCATGCAGTTAATATTACTTTCATAAATGTAACTGTTATTTTTTCTCCAATCCGATTGCCAGGCTTAAATCGAAATGATTATATTAACCAACAACTGTGCCAAGTTTCATGCTTTACAATTTACCCTCTTTTATGCACGGATTTCTTGGACTTAATAGGATTGCAGTATTTCATATGAACTGTAACAGATTTGATTTGTTAAATTGGCTTTGAAAGTCTCTAATATAAATCAATAAGTAGGGCTCGACTTTCATGCATACAATTTCGTCTGTGTTGTTGGTTGTCGGTTGACGTCCGATTCGTGTATGCATATGAAATTTGATTTCTCAAAAACAATAAGTCTGAAATCTTGTTTTTAGAACTATGTTCCATTATGTAACTAGAAATAGATGTCCCCGCATTCCGTTGATATGTAAGTCTACGGACGGACAACGTGAAAGTGTGGCAGCAGGACAACGTGACAGTGTAGCAGCGGGACAACGTGACAGTGTGGAAGCGGGACGTGACAGTGTGGCAGCGTGACAGTATGGAAGTGGTACAACGTGAAAATGTGACAGCGGGACAACGTGAAAGTGTGGCAGCGGGACAATGTGACAGTGTGGCAGCGGGACAACGTGTTAGTGTGGCAGCGGGACAACGGGACAGTGTGGCAGCGGGACAACGTGGCAGCGTGACAACGTGACAGTATGGAAGCGAGACAACGTGACAGCGGGACGGACGGGCATTACAAATCTACATGTCCCATCCCCTTTGGTGTGGACATAAAATGCATTTACTTATTTTGCAGGTCAATGAAACGATATGTTTTTTACGTTCAAAACATGCTTTAACATAATAATAACAAAATGACAATGATGATAACAATTGCTGTACAAACCATCAATATCAAAGATACAATATTAATAAAGATGGTGATGATGATTATGATGCTGCTGATGATGATGACAGTGGTGGTGATGATGATGCTGATGATGTTGGTAATGATGATGATGATGATAATGATGACGATAATGATGACGATGGTGATGATGACGGTGATGGTGATGATGCTGCTGATAATGATGCCGGTGATGATGATAACGACGATGATGCTGCAGACAAACTATGGTGATGACAATGATGATTAGGATGCAGACAGAAGATGATGCCGACAGCATCAGCAATGACAGTAATAAAAATTATAGTAAATTATAGTTATTTTAAAACGGTTTTATATATAAAAATGGCCATTTTTGAGGTTTTAGTTTCAAAGTACAATTCAGCTTATTTCAAATATTCTCCAATACTCCGTTTCTTTAAAAACAAATTGCCCGAATCGAATTTAACATATAAATGTTTCAATAAGGGTTTGTTTGAATGTTATGCATCGTTTGGTTGTAAGATTTTGTGAAAACTCTTTATTTGGAGTTCGTTTAGCAACAATTTTCTTCATACGCATTGCATATTTTGGGCACACTTGAATCTATGACGGAAGGAATATCTCAATGAAGACTGCATAAAAATCAAAACAAAAATGAGTAAATATAGAGGAAAGTCAGGAGGGTAGAATCACATTCCGATTTTCTTTAAAAAAAGCTTTGAATTTTATATAAATGTTTAAAATGTTGAAAACTTACCCTGTGATTGGCCTATTTTCTCTTT